TTTGGCTGTAAGAGCAATTTACCATGTTCCCTGCTGCTAAGTTTCTGAATGGGTAGTACAGCAGTAAGTTAACTAAATAACATAAATGTTACTTAAAGCTACACTATGTCTGTTTTGGGGATTTGGAGACATCTCTGGTGGAAATGCATAATTGCACAAAATGTGTGGAAGAACATTTTGTACCTTCAGTTGTGCTTCGGACCCCTTCCCCGAGTGGATGAATCTGATGATTGTGAGTGTCCAAATAGAAAGAATTTCTCTTTGAATCATCCATCATTGTAATCATATCTTCATCAGTATAATGCTGATTTTGCATTTAAGACCTAAACATTGAGTCAGGCCTTCTTTTTCACTCTGTGCGTGCAATGTTAAAATGTAACGACGTGTGACGTGTGTCCAAAAAACTCCCACGGAACATGATACAACACTTCTGACTTTTAAATTACTATTTCAGGCTTTACAGGGTGACATGCCGCAGTGCATGCACACCATATTTATTGTGTTTTTTTTCTCCTAACTCAGTAATGCTCTTTCTGTCAATTCTAACAAAAAAACTCATATAGTGCAGCTTTAAACCTATCACATTTAGGTAGCCACCAACACAGGAATTCTGGACCAATGACAGAATCTAGTATTTTTCATGTACATATCTGAAGCAGATATTTAAAAAATTGGGAATAAATTCACCTGGATTAGCATTACGAAAAAATAAGACATTTATTTTTTTGTAGGGTTACAACCACAGTAAAATGCATAAAATGCAGACATGGTAGCCCTGTGTATTCTTCCAGAATACAATCAGTTTGATGACTGTCCAATACTGCTATTTTTTAAAGCACTTATCTGCCATTACAGATATGATTTTGATATCATTGTGCATCTCTAATTAACTTATTTCGCTTTTTTTATTTTTATTAGTTGCAAATGGCCATATTAAGTCGAGTGAGTGTATGAATAATACATAAAAATGATCAGTCCAATTAATTAACATTTACTTAAGTCACTCAATCAGGTATCTAAGAAGCTGCTTAACACAAGTGCAATATCATTTTAAGGAAAATTGATTTTCTTTTTCTTTTTTTTATTTGGAACCTAACCCACTTGATGCAGTTCATAAAGTGTGCACTGAAGACCTGCAGGGGTCCAGGACCACTGTTGGTCCCCCCGTAGCCATTTAGCTTACATTGTCCTGATTCACCTTTCAAGAGCTGCTGTTTTCTATTGGTTTTTCATTTGAGTGTTCCAAACGTCTTTCATTTGGGTTTTGTTTTCATTAACACGAGATTAGATCTGGTTAAGAGAGTGCCAGTGTGGTCATGCCAGAGAGTAGGTGCTGCCCGTGAAAGGAGCCTAATTTCATTTAATGCTACTTTAACATAATTACCATCTAATCACTTATAGGAAGGAATTAGCCACCTGTGTTATTTTACATTAGGGAAGACAACAGAAGTACTGATGTGTATTATCATCACATTAGGTCCCTGGTGTGTGTGTGTGTGTGTGTGTGTGCTTGTGGTGGTAAGTGTTCCTGTGTGGTTCAGTAATGGTGGATGGTGAGGTTGAGAGCGCTCAGAGATAAGGCTGGCCCTGCTGCTGTCCTCATGCGATTAGGTTGTGATTGCTGTCAGCCTTGTCAGCACAGAGCATACACTGCAGGTGCAAAGGATTACCACAGAGATTTACTGTATATGTGCTAAGATTCACACATAAACAGTTCTACACGTCACATTCATTGACGTGGTAGTGCTATTTCATTGTTGGAAGCCTAAGAGTGGCAGTAACAGGTACACACACAAACAGCATGACGTAACAGCTCTTCTCTGAAGACCCCCTTCTTTCTTCTTGTTACGCCAGTATCATCAAAGACATTGGCCCACATTCACTAACTGTTCTTAAGAAGAAATTCCTTCTTAAAACCCCCTTACACTGTTTTCACAAAGATTCTGACTGATTCACCAATGTTTTCTTATTTAGGATTTGTTCTTAGGGATAAACAGAATCTACACACTCAAGAGCACAAAGGTGTGAACTATTCTGCGCTCTAAGAACACATCATGAATCTGATGTAGGCTTTTCTTAAGACCTTTCTCAAGAACAAATTTAAGAAAACACTTGAGGCCCATTATGTTTGCACACATAAACCTCTACTGGGGTTTCCAGTGAAATCAAAAACCAAAGGTCTGTTTATACATCTGTCAGTGGTTCTGTTAACTTCTACATACAATGTAATAGCAGTCACATTCATTAGGGCCCTGAGGGTCTTATGGTCAACCATATCAATGTTAAGTCACAAATTAACATCACAAGGTCACTTTACTGCGAAGGCCATGCATACCATTACCACACTTCATACAAAATGAATGGAAAGACAGTTCTACATACGACATATAAACCAAAGGATCATCACTATGACGAGCGCTGTTCCAAAGTTGGCATATAAATGCTGTATTACCTAAAGATGATACCAGAACCATTAGCTTTTCGTTCTCAAGTGTTCATTTAACTGGACATAGATTTATTATCCACTTCAGTCCAAGTGAGGCAGATTGTTATGCAAGAGTGCAATGAGGCACTACAGATAATTTTACCCATTTTCTCTCTTGAAAAATTTGATGAGGCAATTAGTTGGCATTTGATCCTGTTGAAAGTTATGTGACTAAATAAGAGCTTGTTTTCATCAGACATCTAAGGATCATTCCACTCTTCATTGTTGTGGCTTGATATAGATACATTTCAGTGCAGTTCATAAGTAATTGGACAGTGATGCAATCCATTGTGTTGGCTCTGTACACCAGTATCTTGGATTTGAGATCTACTGGATGAACCACATAACAATAAAATATTTCAATGTCCCCAGAATTTAGGGGGCTATTTCTGTCCACAGGTCAGACAAGTATTGTCTCATCTATCATCTTTGGACACCCACTAGCATTGTTACAAATCCAGGCATTCTACTAAAACAGTCCTTCCAGCAGTCACTGAAGGTCTGAAGAGCCTGAACCTCTGCAAACGACCCAAGAGAATTCTTCAGTCCTCATTTTTCTTCCTCTGTCTGCCACCTTTGATACTGTGAATCAATCATTGTCTGCTTATTTCCACACATTTTGCAGCTTGGGCATCAGGAACTGTACCTTGGCATGATTGTCGGCATACGTTCAAGGTATCCATCCAGTGGTCAGTTTTTGCTCCATTCTTATTAATTATGCATACATATTCATGCATACATTTCTTACCTTTGCTGGTAAGAAACTATACCAACTATATGTCTCTGTCCTTCAGATCAAGTCACAAGAGTCCTTAAAATCATGTACATGTCTTATCCACTGGGTTATGTGAAATTTAATCTTGACAAATTAAACTCATGTACTTTGAATCGAAATATTCTTCAATTCTTTAATCTTTAAATGACCTTTAAGGAGCATTTTTGATAACCAGCTAGCATCCTCACAATACATTACATCCACTATCTCATCCTGCATCTTCTTCCTGCATCAGATTAGAACAGTATGACCCATCCGATCATCTGATCATTCTGTTCCTTCCTTAAAATAGAGGCTTCGCAGCTTCTCTTTCAGGCCTTGGTCAGCTCTAGACTGGAGTACTGCAACTACTTACTGGCTGCATTAACAATGTTGCTGATCACCTGCTCTATAACCTCCCAATGAGCTGTCCTATGACGTCCATACTGAGATTCCGGTTGGAGCAAAGATCAAATGCAAAACAGCCTCACGCTGTTCAGAATTACACCCCAGCAAGGCAACTTATGTTTGTACAATGTTTGTGCAGTTCAGGGGTCAACCCAGTGAGCCAAGGTTCTGTCCTATAATATCCATACTGAGATTCCAACATCTCACTGATCTAATGTTCTTGTCCTTCATGACTTGCACTTATACACTGTTAGAAACAAAGGTTCTGTGCAGGTAAATTTTTTGTTCATCAAGGTACAAACAATGTAAATGTGCCCTCAAAGGTACAACCAAAAAGGTACAATCAAATAAGGTTTTCCCAGGTGAAAAGTACATATTTGTACCTTTTCATAACCTTAATAATAATAAAATAAAAATCCTGGAGATGAGACTGGGTGTTTGGAGTCTATACAACAATATACAATACAATTTCAATGGATTATAGTATAATTACATATATTTCCTGACTAAAGGTACTGAGATGTACCTTTGAGGGTACCACCCCAGTGACAAGAGGGTTACTGCCCCAGTTCTGAGAGTGTATATTTTCAAGCTTTTGTGACACCAATTTCTTAACTGGATATCAAATTATCCTCTTCTAACCAAAGATAGGTTGTCGCTCTTGTTGTATTGTAGGTTGCTGCTCTTATTATAATTGCACTTTTAAATGTCTCTTTCCCCTAAATTGCATTTGTACCCAACCAAGCTAGGCCTTTTATTTGTAGAGGCTATGTCTCCTAATGGCCTGCTTTGCTGGTGGTGGTCTTCATGTTGACAGATAACAGACTCCAAATGCAAATGCAATAAGAAGTGTAAATTAATGTTGCAGTGACACATAGCTGACCAGAAAACAACAATGCAAATTGTCCTTAAACTTTTTGGCCTAAAAGCTCTGAGGACTTTTGTTTTCTAAGGGCTGTAATTGCTACAGTCTGCACTTTAACTACAGAGTCATTCTTACATTTCAAATCCATTGTGCTGGAGTTCAGAGAGAAGTAGTGAACCTGTCCATTTGCTTACAGACTGCAAAATCTACTAAAGCTTAATCCACATTGAACAGTTGCAGAGCCAAGTCAGAGCAGAGCAAGAGTGAATGAAACCAAAATGGACCAAAATGCCACAGATAATCACCACCTTTTACTCAATGTTCTCTGCTGAGTTGGTCACCACTGCCCAGGCTGGGTTCTGCTTCCCCATTGGCTCCTCTCCTGTGGCCAGAGAACTTTTCCAGATATTTCAGTGCCACAGTTAATCACCACCTTTGCCTCAACTACTCCTGGGTAACACAAGACTCTGCTGAGTTCTTCAAATCACCTATGCCTGTTGTCCACTGGGTTGGTCACCACTGCCCAGGTCTGATTCTGCCTCCCCACTTGCTTCTCTCCTATGGCCAGAGAATTGGTCCAGAGATTTGGGTGAAGCATTCTGGCTCCTCCAACATAAGCAGCTGGCCAAGTCTGCACGGAACGATGGTGTGAAGAGACCATAGATGACTGGATCACAGCACGTGTTGAGGTTTCCGAAAACAAAGAAGACGTGGTGGACATATTCAGGGATCACCTGCAGCATCTGAGGCTGGAACCAGTACCAGATTCCAAGCAGGTAATATGGTGTCCAGCATATTACAAAGGAGGCGACAATGATGATGGTCATTTTCAGGGTCTTCATACGGGCTTTTGGGATCATATCTCTTCCACTGCGTCTCAAACAAGGCTCTCCTGCTGAGGAGGCATATAATACAGTAATTATACTTTAGAACAGGTCAATGACATTATCATATCATGAGAAAGTGTGTCACTCACCCTTGTCCTTGCTTCTGTTCATCTGGCGGTTGATCTCAACCAGGATATGCGAGTAGCAGAAGCTCATGACAAGCAGAGGGAACACATACAGGGTGATAAATTGGAACATGTTGTAGGCAGTCTCCTGCCAGTGCTGCTGGAAGCTTCCATGTGTGGCACACTGGATAAAGTCCACTCCATCTGCCTTGATTGCCCGGAAAATGAATAACTGTCACACAGAGAGAAAAATGAGAACATATGCTTGATCAAAGGTGAAAGAGAAGGAAGAACATTATGTGCGATGCCATTGTTCCGGAGATTTCATTTTCAAGTCAGCACTACTTACAGTCATGTAGTTGAAGCTCCACAAATTAGTTGAAGCTAGTGTCTGAGATATTTTGAAGGTCCAGGGCAGTATCATTATATATCAGGCTGAAGTTTTTAATTAATCCAACAATATATGCATTAAGCATAAAACTTAGTTCTAGGTAATGTTTCTGTACGTGTTACACAGGTTAACTGGAAAGCCACTAATCGAATCTTCTATGGACCTCTAATTATTTTGTTTTATTTTCAGATAATGTGTTCTGTTTAATGAAGGCTGCCAAATTGATACTTTTGAATGTTTTTGTGAACAATGTATTTAATGTGGTGGATGGTTCAGTCTGTAAGTAAACTAAGTCAGGTCTTGATGATCTACTGGTCTGCAGAGTTTAGTTTCAACCCCACTCTCACATACTTGATCCACTTACTTAAGGCCATTAGGGGCATTTGAACATTACTATTAATATAGTCATTTATAATATTATCAGTATTAGTAGTGGTTGATGTAGCATCAAAGTTAACATAACTCACCTTTATGTGGCAGACTGGGGTTTGATTGTATATGTATAGCAAACACACTCATTAGAGGAACTTAATAAACAGCTTCTTAACAACCACTGAAGTTCCAGCTAAAGCCTGAGTAGACTGATAAATCAGTGTCATGAGCCAGTTATTAAACTTGGCATTACTAAACCTTTGAGGGATGATCGTACTGAACACTCTCCTCAGTAGTGGACATGCTCATGAGCGATAAGCTTAGCATTGGTACTTTACTGGACTTCTGCTATGTATTTTGTGGTCTTATGTTACATGCTGAACTTAACTGGTAATCACATGGCTACTCACTTTCTAGTCAAATTTGCAAGATTTTGTTATTGAGATAGTAAATGAGACAGGGGGTGGTCTTGCTAAGGGGATTGTGATCAACAGTGGACTGAAGTGGACAGGTGCAGCTGACAATTTTGGAACTTCATTCAGAGGATGAAACATTAATCGAAGATTTACATGAAGAAAACTGCCAATGATTAGCAGCTTTGAACAATGTAAATTCATTAAAAATGATAACAACATACTTTTTTAATATGCCTCCTGAGCATTTATTCTAAAGGTGTTCTGAATACGTAACTTTTTTGTCTATTGTAATGGAATCTGTCACTGAATACATTTGGCACAGTCTATTCAGTATTCAGCCATCACTACTTTTTCAAAATATTTTGCCCAACGCTAGGGTTAGATCTAGCATTGACACCTGGTCTGCATGTTGACAGACAACAGTCACAGACTTCAGATGCAGGTGTGACATCTAGAATCAACTTTAGACCATTTCTTACTTCTCTTGTGAATGAAGTAATGCTGCAAAAATAAGCAAGTGGCCAAGAACAAACCAAGCAGCCGGAAAAATACAACCAATTTCATTTGGTGCTGAAGAACTATGTTTAAAAATGACTCTCTCTAAAACTGCAATTTAACATATATTAAGACTTACATGCCTCTGAATTAAGCTATTGGTTTGCACTTTTTCTTTATATCCATTGCTTTAATTCAGATCCAATATGTCCATTACTATAAAGGCATGCCAATGACTATATATATGTGCCACTGGTATCTGAAGTCTGTTGTTGTCTGTTAACATGAGGACCAAATCAAAGTCAATGCTGGTAATGCAGCCCATGTGGAAAAAACAGAACAACTCAGTCAAAATGTGACTTAACTGGTTGGTACATTGTTAAGAACCACAAAAGTGCTGTTGAGCTTTAAATAATGAATATATTAAAATATTAAATGGATAAAGTCCTGTCAAAATATTACCAGTACAGCTTCATCACAGAAAATTCTGTTCAATTACAGTGTATATTCTGTGTACAAATAGAACAATTCCTTCACTTCATACATGCAACGTTCTGTAATTTTACAGTTTTATCTGTAAAAAAACTCGAAAGAGGAAATTCTTCTTTATACTCCAACAGAACCCCAAATAATACATTGGTTGACTGATAAAATCAGCTGTTATTGATGACATGCAGACTTGGCAGTATCAACAAAAATATCATTGATGTGTCAATAGTTAGTGATGTTTTGGGCAGTGGCATCACCAATGTAGCCAAACCTACGCTTTAGCCTGGGAATAATATGCGGTAACACAAAAAGCAAGAACTGATGAAGAAAAAAGAAAAAGTAATTAAAGTGAACTAAAACCTCACCCTCAGTGGTACAATAAAAATAGATTACAATAAGTAAAATCTTCATTATTTCAAATGAAATATAAAACAGATTCATTATAATTAACTGTGTGTCTTTATTTTCTCATTTCAGCATTTGTTCCTTTATATCCGCCATGTTTTTATTAAGCATTCTACTCCTTTAACAAGAAATATTTAATATTTAGCATTATTTAGCCAATATTTAGCATTAGCTAACTTAACGAGTTGGCTTTCATACACTTAAACTCTTTTTTTCTAGTTTATAGCCAAAAAATGTACATGTTGCACATGCTGACATAAAGTAAACGTTACTGTAAAAAGTCACAGGAAAAGAATCTAAAAAAAATATAGCTAACCTTATGCTAGCTTTTTTGCTAACGTAACAGCTATTTTAATTATTATAATTTCAGTTAATGTTCAACACTGTAGTCACATGTGTAAGTATTATACCTGACCCTGTCATATACAACCTTATTAACAACAAATCTGAATTTGTCACCATGGTGAAAAAATAGCCAGGTGCTTTCTCTCTTGATTAAAGTGCAGTTTTCTCCTTTAATCTGATTTGACTACCCAGCATGCAATGTGTGTTTGGAAATATGGAAAAGTTACAAATGTAGAAATGAAAATACAGTTTAAATTCCATGGTGGAGTAACCAGTAAAAAGTAAAAAAATTATTACAATATGGCACCACAGAAGACCACAGTGGTGAACGATTGATCTACACTATCAATAATGACGTTTTTGACACTTCTTTGTCTATGATGTATTTACAGATGTGTATGAAGAGAAGAAAACACTAGCGTGATCTCAGAGGGTTTAAAACAATATGCAAACCACTGGTAAGCCTCAAGAACAAAAAGGTTATAATGCAGTCCATAAAAGCCCTGTTGAGTTCTGGTCCAGAAGCTTTTGAGACAAAGATGAACGTATACTAGAGTGAAGAAAAGAAGAAAGTAAGAGAAAAAAAAAATTCAAAGCAACCCTCTCATGGTTATGTATGGCTGCCAGGGGATCTAGCTCACTTATCTTTATTTATGACTGTGACTGCAGGCAGCAGCAGAACGTGTGCAGAAGCATTTTCACAGTTGCCAACCAAGTGCCTCAAAATTCAGTTGCAATACACCTTACAGCAGGACAATGACCCTAAACATCCATCCATCCATCATCTAAACCACTTATCCTTCCGGGTCGCGGTGGGGTGCTGGAGCCTATCCCAGCTGTCATCGGGCGGAAGGCAGGATACACCCTGGACAGGTCGCCAGCCCATCGCAGGGCAGACAAACAGACATATACATCCACACACACACTCACACCTAGGGGCAATTTAGCATGTCCAATTGGCCTGACTGCATGTTTTTGGACTGTGGGAGGAAACCGGAGTACCCGGAGGAAACCCACGCAGACACGGGGAGAACATGCAAACTCCACACAGAAACGACCCTGGTCACCCGGCCGGGAATCGAACCCAGGCCCTTCTTGCTGTGAGGCGACAGCGCTACCCACTGCGCCACCGTGCCGCCTGACCCTAAACATACTAAACAAAAGAAACTTAGAGTGGAATGTTCTTGATTTCCCAATTGGAACTTACATTTGACTAACTGAAGAGAAGACTAAGAGTGTATTGGGATTTTTTTTCTCTGTGGAATCTAGGTAGACATGACAAGTGAGCGCTCCCATTGATTAGAACTTCAGAGGCTGGACTGAAGCCCTAATGTGTCAGATTAACCATTAACACAATCAAGAAGTGACAGTGGAATCTTCAATTTCCAATGTGTCTCCGGTTCAGTGAGAAAAAACTTCACTGCAGGCCTGCTGGAAGTCCTATATATGTCACTGACTGTAAATACAAGCAGAAGTCTAATCATGTTTCAGTTTTTAGAAATGGAAAAAGGAAAAAATGCCGAGATTCGTAGTTTGAGTAGATTATTATAGAGTTTTTTTTTTTTTTCCTTAATTTTGATCAAGTTTTGACATTTATGGCCCAAGATGAAGACTTAGCTCTAACAGCCACGGATCGCAATTGCAATTGAGGGATGCAGGTTACACTTACAAACAACAAAAAACACTCATAAGGTTCACCAGCAGGTTACACTCACAAACACACACCTTCTGCATTCCCCCATCTGTGTCAAATGATCGTTCGAGAGAAATACATTTTCGGTTGATGGACAGCATTTCCCCATGTGATATATTATATCTTATATCTTAATATCTGCGGATATTTTCCTGCACGCTCATAAATCAGCAGCACAGTGTGACAGAGGAAAGCTCAGCAATTTGTTCAGCTGCTTGAAAGAGTCAATGGTAGTGAGCCCGTAGTCAATGGTGTGTGTGCAATGACGTGTGCGCGTGCACATGTGTAAGAGAGAGAGAAATTGAGTGGGGTGGAAGGTGTATCGATCATACAGCTCACCACCCACCCTCCACCCCTGAGCAGAGCTTAATCTCTCTTTCTTTTCCTCCGTGACTGACTGACTCACCCAGTCATTTCCTAGCCTTCACTTTCCATAGCAACTTATTCATCTCTCCTTTAATGAATTTCAAGGCCTAGGTCACGTTCACGGGTTGCTTCAAATGACTTCACCTGCATTAGGGAATTAAATGTGCGCAGAGCCACTTCTTTATCAGCAGAGATGACTGTAAGACCAAAGAGACAAAGCCAAGTGAATAGCTATATTTCTATAGCTATAACGAATAAGCTGCTGGTCACTGTAGCCTAGACAGGTCCTGAAATCAGTGGTGCCTTCAAGGAGCACTGATGTGGAACATGTCTCTACTCTTTTCAAAGCTACAGCTAATTAGGTGACAGAATCCTGCTGTGTAATGCCTTTTAATAAATGCCTTTTCCCTACGTTCCTCTTCACAGGAAAGAAAGAGGAAAGTAGAAAAGTAGAACTGTCATCTTCTGTTTATTTCTATAGTGAATAATCATGTTTTCATTTTCCAGACATCTGAGTCTTTTAATATTCTGTGATTTTGGAAATATCCATAAAATGAATGGTATGTCTATGCACACTAAAAAAAACAAAACATTTAATTTACTCCCTTAAGGCATATCAGCTTCCTCTGAGCACACAAGCACACATACACACATGCTCTTGCCAGGGGCGAAGCTGTGGGGTGGCCTGGGGGCCTAGACCTCTTCACTTAGAAGTCAGGTTGCTCCAGATTTTTGACTGCTCAAAAAGTCTCCTGATGCCAATGAAATTAATATAAAATGAAATTCATCTTGCACTCTCATAATACCATATGAACCCAAAAGTGCTGACTTCTTGCGAACTCTTAAAAATTCATCCATTTAGAGTTTGCCAGCTTTACCAAGCATGGCTGTTTATTAAGGGTGTTGTCCTACTTTGTTATTTAGACATCGATGATAAAAGTATGGCATTATGTTAACATTGCTTGAGAGGAGATCAAAATACTGAATATAGCCTACATCTCAGAATAGCATATTAAAAGTAGTCCTTTATCGTAGCTAAAACAACAATTTCCCAAGATGTTAATAACAGCGAATACAATGGCTGTCACCTCATTTGTCTCAGGGTAGTTGTGTTTGCTTTCAGGAACCTAGCTAAAGATGTAAGGGCTACATTACTGCTGTCCTCCTGACAAAGAAAGGATTTATTCTACTTGATAAATTATGATGACATACCATTTACATGTCACTAATTCAGGGAGACTGTTTGTCCAATCATGCTATCCAAATACTCTTCAGATACTTCTTTGCGTAGCGGTAGAATTTGGTCAGAGCGAGCATCAAACTCCCATGTCTCTTTTGTCCAGGGGGTTTGTGAAGATCATACACCTGTTCAGGAGGAATGGCGCTAATTCTGCATCCAGCTTTATTCCCTTCACATGTAATAATTCCATCTTTGGAAAGCACTTTCAGTGTTGATTTTTCATTCCAGGCATAATACACATATACACATAACACAGTTATTAAAACAATTATTTTGTCATGTTCTACATATTTTCCAGGTTTGTGTACTGGTAAAATAAATGAATAGACTAATGCTGATTAACTGTGTTACCTACAAAAATGGGCAAACGTACAGACAAAACTTTGAGATGACTACTAACTTTTTAGATATGTGACGTCCTTTTATCACCTACATTTGGAGAGTTAGAAAAAATATGTAAATTGTATTTTTTGCTGAACAATTACTTTAACACAGAGTATTATGCTGACCTGTGGGGATGCAAGGACCAGGCTGAGCGTCCATGCGGTCAGTAGCATCTTCCTGTTCCTGCGGCCTGCATCCAGTGCATCCAGCGGGTGCAGGATGGCATGGTGCCGGTCCAGACTGACCACCACCAGGATGAATGCAGCTGAGTGCATGGCAAAGAGCTTCAGGAAGCACAGCAGCTTGCACATGACATCCCCTGCATACCACTGTACCGTCACATTCCACACAGCGTCCAGCGGCATCACCACAAAGGTCATGACCAGGTCCGCGGAAGCCAGGCTGCCGATGAGGGGACGCAGGTGGGAAGCCAAGCGCCGGCCACGCCCCCTCGTCACACTGAGTAGCACTGACAGGTTACTGACCGCTGCAAACACAAACAGCACCAGGGTAGCCACGACTCGGAATCGAGCAGCAGTGGTGAAGGTCGGGGTCTCCCAGTAAAAGGGCAGGGAGGCATTCAGCAGAGAAGAGTTGTCCAAGAGGCTTGTGGGGCTGGCCAGCAGGAGGGTCACATTTTCTGACATCCTGGACCTAAAGAATATATATTGTTGCTGTCAGATTTGTTACTCTTTTAGACTACTTAAAATGCCTTTTAACAATGTATAAACATTTCATGACACAATGGATCAGAATTAGAATAGAATTAGTTGAACATTATTAGTAATAAGATCTCATCGTTATCAACATTAATGCAAATTTAATGTTTAAGATAAAAATTCTTCTCTTGTAGATACAAGGTTTTATGATCCCAGTCACATATATACACATACAATGCATATGCAGTACTTTGCAAAAGTCAGAGACCACCCTTCATTTATTTAATATGTAGTGAAAATGGCCAGTTATTTATTTCTTATTGTCCCAAAAAAAGAAATCTTCAGGGACATTTTTCCACATCTCTAAAGTTCAATCTTAGAAGTTGGTTGCATTTTCTGCCTCTTATGATGCAAGTAATCTCAAACTTTTAATGATGTTGAGGTCTGGACTCTGGGATGGTCAGTCCCTTGTTCTGAGACCACCCGCAGCTTCTTTTTTTGATTTGCAGATGTTCTTCTTTTTGTCTATTTCTTTTTTCTCAGTAAGGGCTTCTTGACAGCTGCATATCCTTTCAGACTCATAGTGTTGAGTTGTCCTCTCACAGTGGAAGGATGGACAGAAATGACTGTTTTTTTTTCAGATCTGAAGTAAGAGTGGAGCTTGATTTTCTCCTCTCTCTCAAAGATGAAAGCTTTAAGTGCTGTTAATCTAAGGTCAAGTTTCTACCAGGTCTTGTACAGTTATTTGGAGTCCCATTTTCTCTATATCTTTAATGTTGAAAACGCACATGGATTATTTCATCTCAACTCTCCTCAGAAATTTCTCCTGAAAAATGAACAATTTGTTTTCTCTGGAAGTTAAATAAGTAGAACTTGGTCTCTGATTTAGCACAGAACACTGCATGCACATATAAATATACAACACGCATACTCTCACCGGGCACTTTGTTAGAAACTGCTAACTTGTAGGTTCACCATGCTGGTGTAAATCTGTTAACGGGCCTCAGGCCCTTCATCAGTGGTCAGTTTCTAACCACAGAGTTGGATATTTTGGACCTATCTCAACCTAGTGGTCACAGTAATGTGTGTAAATTCCCAAGCAACACTGCTGTGCCTGATGCAATCAAACCAGTGCAACACTAACTAACTACTGGGACAGTGTCAGTGCTGTCATTCACCACCTGAACAATTTCTAGTCTATAGTAATTCATTGGTCAAAAACTGCTCAAGTTCTCTAGGCCAAAGAAGCAGAAGACCATCCAGATTGTTATCAGCATGAAGTTCAAAGGCCAGGGTCTGTCATAGTATGAGGGTGTATTAGTGTCAATGGCATGGCATCTGTGAAAGCACTATTAACACTGAAACATAAATACACATTTTGAAACAAAAACAGCCTTCTAGACAACGTCTTTTTCAGAGAAGTCCATGCTTATTTCATGCTTAAGTCACATTCTGCATGTGTTACAACATGAGTGCAGAGTGCAGAAGTCTGGCCTTCCTGTATTTCAGATTTGTCTCCCATTTAATACACGGCACATTATGAAGCTCAAAATAAGACAATGAAGAACACGTGTGGTTGTGCAGCTAAAGACTTGTATAACAGATGAATGGCAAAAAACTGGAACAATTGATGTCTTTAGTTCCCAAACAACATAAAAACCAAAAATCTTGTTTTGAATTTAATACAAATCAAAAAGATTTGTATTAAATTATTACTGCCCAAACTTTTTGTGGAGCTGAGGTTTGTATTAATATATCAATAAAAATCAGTGACAAATTTACATAATTTTACTCATAGATTCATAGCTCCAGTGCAAAACTTCAGACACCAAACATGTGATGGCTGATGAACTATATGTGAGGTAAGGGGAATTTATGTTAGTTTGACTTTCCCATTCCTTTATGACCAATATGCTTTATATGTTCCAGGAATAAAAGACATGATGAAATGAGGCTGTGAAAAGCAGTGATCCAGACATGAACACAGTCACCTTGAAATCCTGGCTCAGCTCTTGAAGAACTACCTTTGTTTCACAATATTCCCTCTTTCCTATTTCACAATATTCCCTTTCCCTGCTCCATGCACCGTAATACTCTATAGATTTATGGTGTCTGTTCACAGTCTCATTTTCTTCAGCTCCCTTGCCAGGGGCATGTTCACTCTGTACCTCCTCAGCAGAAGATGAAGACCTTGGCTAAAATGGCAGTGAAAGCCACAGCAGAACAGCATGTCTGTGAAATTTCAGGATTCTAAATATAAACCTGCAATGACATCAGCTGTGAGCTGCTGGAACTGTGCTGTGATTATTCTCAGATTTAGAAGGCTAAAAAAAAACAATGATGAGATTATTTGTCACCTTCTCTATGGCACTCAGGATTCATGCATATGAGTCAGAGTTCTCTCTCTCTTTTCTCTCATGCTTCGGTCAATGGCATATTAGCTGGACAGCTGTGCAGGGTTCCCATTGCTCAAATGCAGGTACACATGACTGATACTTTCAATTAGTGTTTAAGTGGTGGGTTTGCAGCAAACATAAGCAGCAGTGCAGATTCCATAAGACAAATGTAAGTGCAGTTCACATCATCTGGCATATGAATATATGAGCTGTTGGCATTGTCAGGGGTAGGAGACCAATATATAGCCTTGAGATAAATGACCTAAGCTTTATGAATAGCTACTATATTTCAAGAAAATCTTCAGATGTGGAGGAAGAGATTTACTGTCATCACCTGTTACACAGTACTGTGCAAAAATCAGAGACCACCCCTCATTTATTTAAAATCTTGTCAACACAGCCAAGCACAAGTTCATTTTTCAGGAGATATTTTGGAAGAGATCATATATAAGATAATCTACTTGCATAAAGGAGAAAGTCGAAGGAACATAAGTTAAAAACAGGAGCTTCCAAAACTGTAGTTAAAACAAATATGAAAAATATATATACACTTATTTAACACGGGACTCCTAACAACTGTGCAAGACCTCATAGATCACCTAAAGTGTCGTTGTTAGATAAACAGTACTTAAAAGTTAAATTCATTACTGAAGGTCAGCATTCACATCCCCAGGATTTTATTCTAACTGGCTGCCTATGGCCTCTCTGGTCAGCTCAAACCAGCAGCAGATGTCCAGGCAATTTGCACAAAATCCTTGGGAGGATTTTTACTTTCTGGACCTGAATTACCCATTTCTGCCCATGTTGGTGTTGTGTAGTCGTATGAGCGCTGCCCTTCAGTAAAGTGTTAACAAAAAATCCAGAGGTGTTTCTGTCTGTCCTTCCACTGTGAGAAGACAACTCAGTGCTATGGGTCTGAAACTTCTGCAGCTGTCAAGAAGCTGTAGCAAGTATTGGGACACACCTCTTAATCATTGAATTCAGGTGTTTCATTCAGTCCCACTGCCACAGATGTATAAAATCAAGCACCTAGCCATGCAGTCTGCCTTTACAAACATTTGTGAAAGAACTGGTTGTTCTAAAGAGCTTACTGAATTAGAGTGTGGTACTGTAATAGGATGCCACTGTTGAAAGAAGTAATTTCGCAAAATTTCTTTCTTCCTGGATATTCCATGATCAACTGTGAGTGGTATTATTGAACTGAGTGCTGAGGTGCATAGTGCATCAAAGTCACCAACGCTCTGCTGACTCAATAACTGCAAACCTCCTCTTCATTAACATCAGCACAAAAACTGTGCACTGGGAGCGTCATGGCATGAGTTTCCATGGCAGCTACATGCATGCCTCACATCACCAAGCACAACATCAAGCGTCGGATGGAGTGGTGTAAAGCACCCCGCCACTGGATTCTGGAGCAGCAGAAATGTATTCTTTGGATTGACGAACCACATTTCTGTATTTGGCAGTCTGATGGACGAGTCTGATGGACGAGTGAGTTACCTGCCTGACTGCATTGTGCCAACTGTAAAGTTTGGTGGAGGAGGGATAATGCTATGGGGCAGTTTTTCAGGGGTTGGCCTAGGTCCCTTAGTTCCAGTGAAGGGAAATCTTAATGCTTCAGCAGACCAAGACATTTTGGACAACTGTATGCTTCCAACTTTGTGGGAACAGTTTGGGTTCTTTTCTGTTCCAGCATGACTGTGCCCCAGTGCACAAAGCAAGGTCCATAAAGGCATGGCCCACACTCAACCCCAGCCCTGACCTCAACCCCATCGAACACCTTTGGGATGAACTCTAACAGAGATTGCGAGCCAGGCCCTCTCGTCCAACATCAGTGTCTGACCTCACAAATGCTCTTCTGGATGAATTGAATGGGCAAAAATTCCCACAGACACACTCCAAAATCTTGTCGAAGGCTTCTCAGAAGAGTGTAAACTGTTATAGCTGCAAAGTGGGGACCACCTCAATATTAATGCCTATGGATTTAGATAGATAGATAGGGGTTATATATAGATAGGGTATATATATCAGCTAACCTGTGTATTATAGATAAGTGGGCACCTATGCTTAGACAGCCAAGACTGTCCACATCATTTTGTGTTCCACAGCCCACAACTGTTTGCCTTCTGAGCTGCAGCTAAAACAGTCCAAACATATTATTTCATCTGAACACAGCCTGACAATTTCACCAAACAGCATCTCTGAACTTTGCTTCTCATTTTTTTCTTTAGCTTCAGCTTGCTGAACTCAGCACATCCACAGAGGTTGCTTTCTTTATCTGATAAATAAATAAAATAAATGAGACTGATAAAGTATGTATGAGAATACAGGACCAGACATTGACCTTATAGTGTTCCAGCACTCACTATAATGTATTAGTTAGCAGATTTCTTTGACTTGTTTATCAGTGTGAAATCAGTCTTTGATGATGTATTCTGTATATCAATGCATTCTTGAAAAGAGAATCATCCCATTTAAAGGAAGCAGCCCAAGAAACTCAATTTTGGGAAGTGTTATTATAGATGCATTTCATTTCTCGGCTTCTGCAGTTGCAGGACTATGCTGCTGGATTTGACTGACAATGCATGGAAGAAGCAGAATATATCAGTGGTTGCTTTCAGAGAAGGCTGTGACAGGGTGAGTTTTGAGCAGTGACAGTTACAGCAGTCATCTACAGCCTCTGTCATCTCACGGCTCTGCTACATTATCTCCATCGCCATCAGACTTTTCCATGTGCACTGAAAAAGACGCTCATAGTATACTGTGCACAGACACTGCACGGCAGCTGCAGCTGCTGCTGCTGCTGCTACTGTTGTGTGTCAGCTGATAAAGTAATAAGATTAGAGGTTAGAGCAATAGCATTAGTGGTCACCTTTCTCTATGTTATGATGGTATTATTTTTGAGTATGCCAGGTGTGAAAGTGCTGTACATATGCACACCTCATTAGTCTGGCAGCAAAGAAGCAAAGGATGACTTTCTTTCCTTCTGTAATACAGGGAGATTCACTTGAAAGAGGCCCCGAATATTCTGTAATAACTCTCGCTAGGATGAAGCAATCTGAACAAAACAACATGCAATGTGCTCTCAGTATATGGAGCTTCGAACAAGCTGGGATGCCCCGGATCACAGTGATGAGGTAGGCGCCGGACAGCCGTCGTGACGTTTAACCTCTCTAATACTTGCCGATACATTTAGGAACATGGAGCGCCGCATCAAAATGTGTCTGGCAGACAACAGAGATCGCTTCCAGCATCGCATGTAATGCAATTGATTACACATACGTCAAGGTATGTAGCGTATTTTTTTGGTTCAGATCGCTTCATCCTAACAGGAGTTACAACAGAATATTTGGGGCCTCTTTCGAGTGAATCTCCCTGTACATCTTTTCCACCAGTCAAAACTTCATAATAGATATTAAATGCCCTTTGCATTGTCTAGAGAGTTTTTATCACAAATGGATGAATAGATATGGTCCAAGATGACTTGTTATATTAATTTACATTAATGTTAAGAACCTTTAATAGATAGATAGATCCATCAAAGGGTCCATCACTCCAGAATAACACAGTTCCACTGCTCCACAGCCCAGTTCTGGGGGCTTTATACTCCTCTAGCTGATGCTTGGCTTTGGACATGGTGGCCTTAGGCTCACGCTCAGCTGCTCCAGAGCAGGTAGGCAGGCCGATAGATAGATAGATAGATAGATAGATAGATAGATAGATAGATAGATAGATGGATAGATAGATAGATAGATAGATAGATAGATAGATAGATAGATAGATAGATAGAAAGCTGATATATGGCTTCCAATACCAGTTACATTATCACTGCACCCACTCTCTCTCTCTCTCTCTCTCTCTCTCTCTCTCTCTCTCTCTCTCTCTCTCCCCTATCTTTTTTCTCTCTTTTCTCTTTCTTTGTTTTTTTTTTCACCCTAGTATGTTCAGGCGTACATCTCTCTTTGCTCCTGATGACTCATTCCCATCATCAAGCTCATCTTGGAAAAGCTGCAGACCACCTATGACTCCTCGCTCTCCAGTCATCTAATTAAGGTTTCATACAGTTAATTAAAAGGTTAACACTGGGAAATTTGGAAATGTGTATTAAAACTGTTTTAGTAGTTTGTAATTTGTAATAAAATTTGAAGAATGAAGGATAAGAATGAGAAAGCAGAACATTTGTATTTTACTGGAGGCAAGTGTTCAGTAGAGATCCAAAATATACTAAAGAAGATGATTTAAGGTTCTGGCACTATAATAAAAATACTTTTTATGCCCTGTGGTTGTGGACTGAATCATGAATTGAGCCATAAGCCATTAGTACTGAAAATCTGTGGACATCGATCCAGCTCTAGAAATCATGCACATCAGCATATCTGCTGCAAGGTCATTTTTACGTCTTTATGAAGCCCAAAGAAAACTTGTCTATGAAGGTATGTTATTGACACCTCTTTTTGAATGGTAATTCTTTAAAAAAATGTACTGCATGTAGAGATCCTCATGATTTCATCACTTCGGTTTCTAACTTATTGATCACTGAAGTTCATGAGAAATCATTTGAGAGGTTACAAAGAGCAGGCAGGAAAATTATTAGAGGATGGTTTACGAGACTTACTATAAAACCCACTGCGACTGCGTCCAAAACTGTAAAAGTCATGACAAAAATATACAGTCTTTAGCCTACAGGTTTACTATGTGCCTTTTACCTGCACAAACCGACACATTTGCCTAGAAGGTGGTGTTGAAGTAGGCAAAAGTTGTGCTTTGTTTTCTCATTTCAGGATAAATGTCGTCTTTCACGTGTTTTAAACACTGCCTCTGAATCCACACAGTTTCATTCTACACACTGTAGTTAAGTTGTTTTCTTCAGCTGAGTTCATTCAACACCACGAGCTTTTCCAACGAAGGAAGATAAAGATTAAAGATAAGAAAACATCAGTTTTTCATCCAATCAGAACTGCTCTGATTAATCTGAAACATACCTCTGATGGTGTCCGCCGATGCTGACCGGTCACAGAGATTAATCCACACAACTTCCTGCACCCATTTACTTTTAATGATAAAGATCCGAGGCAAAAAGATGCGCTGATATGCTACTATATGTATTTCTCTGTGTGTGTGTCAGGAGGCTGGAGCTCATCTCCATCGTGCTGCTGGTGCTGCTCGAGGTGTTTTCCCGCAGTCAGCGTTTCAGCGCCTGTGTTCCTCTCCACTCAGTGTGGAGCTGTCCAAGTGCTGAACACGACCCACACCCTGCAGCACCACCACGCTTTACCTCCGTTCACTTTCTCCCCTTTTCCCTCTGAACGCTCTCAACTCTCTCTCTCTCTCTCTCTCTCTCTCTCTCCTCTCTCCGCCCCCCCCCTTCTCTGACTGTAAATACACTGCGATCCTGACATCAATGGCCTTTTACTCATCCTCCTCGTGGGTGAACTGCGCGCGCCGCACGCTGTGAAAGGCACCGCTCTTGACTTAATATTTGAGCAGGTAATATGAAAATGAGTTAATCTAAAGTAAATGTATGTGCTGGGAATCTTTTCCAAATACAATCTCAAGATCGTCTCCTGCCGGCCTGAACACCTCACTGTATGTACATATTAATAAAGGAACCTCCAGTTTGACTCAGTTGACTCAATATATATGGGTCGTTGACATGACGTGCATTTTCTGCCCATTATTTACTCAGAAAAAATTCAGTCCATGCCCCCCCCCCAAAAAAAAGTTAAAAATATGCGAAATATATCAAATTATTCAACAATATTTCTTTTATGTGAAACAATTCTTGGTGCATTCATAAAAAAATATTTTAGCTTTTTTCTGCCTCCAAAATTTTAAAAATGTCGGGTGGAGCAACCCCAACCATTCAACCATATATATTGATTAAATAAACTGTCAAAAAGAGGTGATTTAATTGTATAAAACTCTAAATAAAATAGTTTGGCATGATTTAATAACATTTAAAATAAAAAAAAATCATGTTGCAAAATAAGGCAACTTTAAAATTGCTCAACTCACTGAAAAACTTTCCTCCACAAGTTCTTGATTCCTCAAATGTCAGGCGGCACAATAATAAAAGGACTTTTATTTTGACATGCTTTTACGAAACAGGGTCCAGGGTATTGCATCAATAGAGAAGACTCCAAGCGATCTTGGTGCGAAGGTCAGTAGTCCTCTCGCAAATTTAGGATAAAACGTGTTTTCTGAGTCAAGGTTAGAATGACTCAGTTTACCATGTCAGGTGGTCCCACTTTAGGAAAACAATGGAAACGTGTAATTATTATAATAATGTTTATTTATTTGAAAAAGTATAAGACCAAGTTTTCTCAAATGTTTCTACGGGTGTCGACGTAGATGCCTGTTTAATTTGAAATTAGTCTGAAAAGTCAGGTGCAACCAGTAGGTCAAATGGTGCAACCTGAGTAGCACAGTTTTATGCTATAAATGCGAAAATATATGCATGTATAAAAATTAACATCATGTCCTTTTTAATGAGATTTTTTTGAATTGTCATTTTGAAAACCCCATCTGTCATTTGTCATTGCATATGTATGGAATATGGCACAAGTATGTTCCCCAGCTAAAGGTATTGTAAATGTACCCTTGAGGGCCATCTTTTTTTTCTAAGAAAGAAGTGTATCATATCAGTTTTCTTCCCATTTAAGTAAATAAACTGTTTTTAAATGTATATATTTTGGACAGGCAAAATATAATCAGAATATTTCACTGTGTATAAGATCTGTCTGCTTGTTAATGGGCAGCACTGGTTGTCAGTGTGTTTTCAGTCTGAAAAAAACACTGACCGGACCACTTGAAAATTTAATGAAGTGAATAAATTATAAGACACACAAAATCATAGGGATACAGAGAGGTGGGGGAAGGAGAGGAAGAGAGAGGGAGAGAGAGAGAGAAATAAATGGGGAGGGGGAAGGGGAAAAGAAAGAGAACAGACAGCACAGACAGAAAGGGGGGAGAAATAGAGGGAGAGACAGAGAGAGCAAGAGAAAATGAGAAAGAGAGAAATATGAGGATTAGTTTAATTTTCCTTAATTAAAGTCAAATTGATGAGGATGTTTTAATGAAGCATGTTTCATGTGCAGAGAACAGGCTAATTAGTGTGACTGTATTCTGCTCTGAAATGAAGAGAAAATGATGAGAATTACAAGGAGACGTCTCCATATCACGAAAGGATTGTAATCTACTCTACAGTTCGTATTAAAGCTGTTGTCAACATCAGATCTGTTTATTGGAATATTGCATTTTGGAATTAAACGTCAATGAGAGTAAAATTTGGTCATTATGTTTTATTATAACGTCGCTGTCCAATGAAAAACGTGTATGTCCATTTTTTGCGATTTTTACTTTTCTGCATCATTTGAGCTCAGCAGCTGTCCTTTACATTGTGTGAAAATTTAATGATGATTGGACCGATAGAAATGGTCCAAAATTGCTTAGAATAAAAACTTTTTCCATTAACTTACATTGAAAGTAAAGAACATTTTTGCCCTCTTCTGTAAAGTTACTATTTTGGAAACACTTGTTTTTCGTTGGACATCGACGATAAGTAGCCATGTAGGACTTCTGTATGTTCGGATGTTTTTTACTAAAAAAATTAAAATAGTTAATTCTGTAGGCTACACAGAGTATTTCTCATTGTACAAAACACCATGTTAAAAATGTCATGAGTTCCTTCCTTTTTTTCACAGTAAATTTGAGCCTCAGAACTGAACTTCAGGCAGGTATAAACTACAGTTAAGTTACTCGTGATTTACTGGTGCTGTTCTGCCCTCTGCTGTTGGGTCAGTAATTTACTCCTCTGAATCACTGAACCTCAAACGGTCAGGCTTCTTTATTAGTACTTAAAGAATGCAACAACAGAACAATGCTTTAATACTGCAAGTCCTAAACTGTATGATATTTGTTTACTATTTCGCTTTTGTTATAAAATTCACTTCCCAGGGTGCTCTGCAGCTCCAGAGCATTTAAGGACATGAGAAAAATGTCAGAGCATTGGGAAAAGTAATTGAAACGAATAGGGAGAAGAATCCTTATAAGCTCACCTAAATTTAAGTATACATACTTATCATATGTATCGATTTTTATTTTTTAGGGATATACCTTATAGAGAAATGAAAGATCAATTTCTCTTTTAACGCAATCCGACAGGTTTTATATGACATTTTTAAAAATGAATAAATCTTATTCAATCTATTATGATAATTATAATCACTATTGTGAAATCATGTAAAACATGTTTATATTGATTAATAAAATTAAGAATAAAATAATATGCATTATTATGCATTAATCATTTCAATATTTTACCATTTTTTCTTGTAGCAGACTAAGTCTGTCTGTAAGGTTTAGGCATGACAGTGTGCCATTTGAGCCCACCAGGTATGCATTAGTGCATTAATGCATTAAGGTATGCATTATTAATATTTATTATTTTAAAAAAAAAACACCTGAAACAGTAGTTTGACTATGATCTTTTAATAAATATAAAATTAAAAAGTTGTGTTTTTAAACTATAATTGGTATTTTTTGATAAGTAATAGGCTAAACTGTCAGACTACTATTTGTCACATGACTTCTGACTTTAGCTGCAAGCTAGAGACTTTCTCTGAGCTCACTCAATTCTGAAAAATGTTTCTATGTAAGACTGCACTTTAAGATTTCACGGTGGCTTTGACGTGTTCATGACAGTCAACACACATTTCTTGAACTAAAAGAATTAAACTGGCTCATATTTAACAGTAACAGACACAGATGTTGGTTTATTTAATGAGATGCTGAGTGTTTTTATCTACTCCAATGACTGGACATGCACTGTATGTACGCTTATTAGGGGCTTTCTACTAATAAGATCCTAATAGCAGAAGGAGAAAATGTTAAACTCAGAAAGGAAGTGGCATGATCAGTAACGGAAGAGTGAAAAAGATCTGAAGACCATGTTTAACTGACATTGACGTTCATGACTACCTCATGTAAATTGTGTCTTTTACATGTTGTCTCATCCTTTCACACACAGTCAAATTTGTCAGATTAAATCAGATCACTTTTCTACAGTTTCTGTTGGCTGCCTGTTAAGTTTTGTATTGATTACAAAGTCCTTCTAATGATGTATAAAGCTCTAAAAGGTTTAGCTCCAGGACATCTCACTGACCTTTTGAAGTGTTAAAGTCCACCCTGTGCACTTTGTTTAGCAGAGGCAGGTTTGGTAGATGGTTTTCTTATGTAGGTTCAAAACTCTGAAATTGTGCTCCACAGGATTTCAGAAAGGCAAGCTCAATAAATAGCCTCAAATCTAGACTAAAGACTTACTTGTTTAAACTGGTTTAATCATCATTCCTGAAAGTAGCCATGTTATTTGTGACTTGTAATAATGATAAAATAAAGAATTATATGATAAATGATAATAATAAAATAACAGTTTTATTTGTTTCTTTTAAAATTTCTATTTGTTTAATACAACCCCAATTCCAAAAAAAAAGTTGGGACGCTGTGTAAAATGAAAATAAATGTAAATGAAAATAGAATGCAATGATTTGCGAATCTCATAGACCCATATTTTATTCACAATAGAACATAGAACACATATCAGATGTTGAAAGTGAGACATTTTACCATTTCATGAAAAATAGTAACTGATTTAGAACGTTTTGGATTTGGGATTGTATTATTTTGGAGTTTGTATTTTATCAATAATGATGTTATAGTGTGTAATTTATTAATATTTAATACCACTGATCTGTGTTATTCTTCTTCTTTTTCTTATTACTATTATTATTATTCATTAGCTCTTATTGGCTAATTTGTGTGATTGTGTTTTAGTCCTTAACTGCATTATTTATTCTTGCTCTGCTTTGGTCCTCAGAATGACTCTTTATTTCCATTATCACTGTCAGGAAAAGATTTCTGTGTTTTGTATGACCTCATTGTTGTGTCATATCTTTTATTGTGTCATGTCTTTTCTGAAGGCAGTGTGTTTTTGTTTGCGTAGGCTGCACTGGACTCACCCCACCCTGTTCCCAACTATTTGGAATTGCTCCAATT